CGCACAGCCTTATGGGAACAGTAGTCTACCGCTACAGTAATGTATGTTAGATGACCACTGTAAGTCAATAAGGAATGAAGTATAACTAACCTGCAAATCTACTAAACAGTACAAGATTGTTTTAATGATTATTTTTAGAGTTTTTTTTAGAAAGTTTTATATTTCTGAGAACTCTGCTTTCTAAAATTTGTCTGTATTTGCTTCATTGGATCTAAGAAGCGTAGTAAAGGGCTCCATCTCAGCTTCTACTTACGTTATGTCAACTGCCTGGATCACCGTGTTCTCAGTGAATGGCGGATTTATTTCTTTTCTGTTAATTGTCTCTGAAATAAACCACTCTTCCACTAGGAGAGAAAAAAAAGTGTGACACGTGATGATTTGAGCTTAGTTCTGTAATTGATCCCATTGGTCATGCTTTGGTGGAAGTCAGCTAAAGCTTGCATTTAAACTGTATCAATAGCAAGAGACAGGGAGTCTCTAAAGATTATCAGCCTCATCGGCAGCATTAATTAAGAGGATTTCAGTCTTGCTAAAACTAATAGCACAGTTATAGCTTCTCACACATCTTAAAATATTTGATCTGTGAGGATCATGTGAGGATTCATGCTGTTTTTACTCATTTCTGGACAGATATTCACGACTATGGACTTGTGCGGACATATTTCTCTTCATCTTCATCTGTAAGACTGCTGAAATCATTGATAAACTGCTGTTTTTATTCGGGATTGGGGTTTGGGGACTCATTTGCAATCAGCTACATTGCCACTGTCAGATGTTACGTCTCAGTTTTTATTTACCTTTACGTTTCCTTAAGTGTTGTGTTGAAGGCAGCCATGTGGTGGCAACCTGCAGAGGGATTTATCTATTTTCAGTCACACAGGGAGAAAATGACAGGAATAAATCACAGTCTACTCACTCAGAGAAAAATCCAGTTCTCCTTGGAGAGAAGGGAATCCATTTACTTAGGATGTGAAAGTGACACAATGCAATTTAGAAACTAAATATTATGGGGTTTTTCCTCCCCTTTTCTCTTTCAGACATAAAAGAATACAGCTGCTTGTTTTTAGCTTATCAGCAGTAGACACTCTACAAAGGTAGATATAGGAAATTTCTATATCTCAAGTGCACATTATCCAGTCTGTCCCAAACTTGACATGCTTGATGGAAGTCCAAGTCTGGAGATGTCTATGTGCCAATATTAGGTAACACTTATGGCACCATGTAGTGGTACAGGAAATCAGCAGTAGGCGATAATCATCTCATGTACATCACATTTTCATTGGTGGTTCCACAGATGATATACTGTGGCATGGCATATAATTAGTAGATACTCTCCAGCAATACCTAGTGTTGGGCTTAAAACATCCACATGACTACATGAAACTCCTCGCCTACAACCCTACCGACCTGTAATATGGATCGAGTGCAGCATGAGTGGATGTGCACAGAGAAGCGAGGGCCTGATAAATGCTGTTTGCAACTTTAATTTGAAATTAATATTTTTATGAGAAGCATATTGAAGTTTATTATCATCATTATGCAAACAAAATGAATGAGATAAAATGATCATTTTGCCACATTCAATTTTGAATTGTGAATTATAACACCCTTTACATTTGATTATTACTTTTGCGATAATCCAGTAGCCCTGTTTGGTTTCAGACAGTGATAAAGAGACAGCATTTAAAGTTTTTACTGCAGCTTTTTTCTCATTGGCCATCAGAAATGATGGATTTCATGGAAAGAGTTGGTTGTAATAAGGGTATTGTGTCAGCAATGTATTTTGGCCTAACGCAAGAAAATCCAGTTGCATGATCTCCTGAGTGCACAAGGACGACTTTCTGAGCTCAGTTGCCTCCTCCACCTACAACAAATCTTCCATGCTTACTCTGAGTGAAGGCAACAGATGCTCTAAATGCACCTTCACTTGATGTTAATCAACTGTGAGCAGAGCATTTTAAGAGCAGTTTGAATGTTGACGTCATTTCAAAGTTATGCATCATTCTCAGTGTAATCTGATTCCTCCAGCTCTTTTAGAATTCCAGCGGCAGTCAAACAGGATGGACATGAATAATTCAGAGAAGAGCTGTTCAGAGGTAGTGCCGCTGCTACTTCATCGTCACTTCGTTGTGAGGCTTCAGCTAGAAGCAATTACAAAAGGGCTTCTTTTCCAAAGTAAAGACGGTACTGAATATCTATTTTCACTAAGTTTCATGTTCTCCTTTATTTTGGGGGGGCATGCCTGCTGTATGAGGTTTATTCTGGTAATGTTCTGCATTATAAGCAGTTCATAATTAATTCTAGTGATGCTGCTTTTCTTACTGTCAGAAAATCTACTAAAAGGGCAAAAAGTATCAATGAAATGATCTTAAATCAGGAGCTCTTTCTAAACTTGGCACTCACACGTACATGTGGAAGTACGACTATATTAATTCTACAATTTATTCAGTATTTATTCAATATTCAATATTGTCAGGTCTGTAACTGTGGACAGTGACACAGTTTTTGCAATTTCCCCTCTGTACGCCACCACAGTATTGTTTAAATCAAACAATCAGTAACTTATTGAACTGCAGACTTCCAGCTGTAATTCAAGAGATCTAACAAAAGTATTCAATTGCATTAAATGTTTAGGAATTACAGCAATTCTTATACAGGCAATAAGGAATTCAGTTGCTGATTTCATGCTGTATTTGGTTTTATTTTCATTGACTGTTTTGTTAGGTTTAAACACCATAACTGCTTGGTAATGATTAGGTAAGGGTAAGGAAAAGATTGTGATCTGGTTCTCAGTAGGCTCTTTGAAGAGTTATGATAAAAGGTACCCATGAAAGCTACGCCAAAATTTGGGATTATAGATTACAGAAATAACGTAATGTAATAAAAATGTTAATTACATAACTTTTTCATTCTGTCGTCAACAAAAGAAATGAATTTCTTCTTGAATAATGGTAAATGCATAAAATATCTATCAGTGTAGAGCCTCGTGCATATCGGTGTATTCTGGATGTGTATGTTTTTGGCTACATTTTAGCTTTCTGTCAGTACTAATAAATTGCCTTGTTATTAGCCGGGTCAAAAGCAGTGTCTGATGTTCTGGAGAAATAGTTCTTTGAATTCCACCCTCACAGTTCAGTCTTCAGCTCATCAGATCAGATAATGTCTTCCTCATGCTCATAGTTCCTCGTAGTTTTTTAAAAAGCAATTTGACAAGCTGCCATATCGTTTTACTCACAAGTCCTCTCCCTGTGTTGGCTAGAATTGCTGTTGAGATCCTTTAATCAGGTTCTCTCATCTCTTCAGAGAACTTCTGAATGTCTGTTGACTTGGAGACTTGAGGTCTTTCTTGATCAATGGCCCTTCTTTATGTCTCCTAAAAGAGAAATATTCCTAATGTTGCTTAAATCTGTCCTCTAGGTCTCCTGACAGTGACAACTACAAAAACTACAATTCACCAGAAAGACAGGTTCCCATCATCCATTACCCATCATCAGCTAGCGGACCATCCTCTCCAGCTTCAGTTGCTGAAGACCAATCACAGAACACCGCAGCCTTCAGAGTCGCAGGTCAAAGCACCAGCACTTCCTGTTTGATGCATGGGTGAACTCTGGAAACTGAAGCTTAAACTTCTTTTGGGGAAAAACAGTGACTGTGTTCGTTTTCCAAGAGATTTGAAAAGCATTTTAGTGCATTGGATGGATATCTTTTTCGTGGCACAAAACTCTGTTTCATTTTTACATACCAAAGATGAACAGAGCCCACGAAGACATGTTTTTGGAGGGGATAAGACATTCAGAGTGCCACTCTACCACATACCCTACTATATCTTTGCATAGAAATTAAAATATTGTATAAATATCTACTACATGGCTTAACTAAGAAAAAAAAGAGTTATTTAAAAAAAAATTGTTTCTGAATGAAGAGAGATGAAGCTGTTGTTTCTGTTGGGACACTCTGGCTATGTGCTGGTCATCAGTCTGGTAGGAAGGGTAAAGGGAAAAAATCATATCAGACATTTTTATGATAGAAACATCAAGACTTGCACTTTATGTAGACATTTGAAATGTTGTTTTACACATGAAAATTTCCATCGACCAGGCAGGAACACTTTGAGTGTGGTAACAAGTAGAAAAATATACAGTAACTGTTCAAACTGATGCGCATACTTAAAACAATGGAACTAAGTGAACCTCAGACAGTTATATTATAGTACTTGATTTTGAACCTATTTGGGTTCACTTTTATGTTATATCAGACATTACAGTTGTCAAAGTTTTCAGTTTTATTGTGCAGGTAACAACTGAGGCAGTGATGCTGATAAATGCATGGAACTTCAGCAATATGAACTCAGCTCCTACTTTGATTTAGACATAAATAACATCAGATATTTCAGGAATATAATATTGTCTCTTCAAATAAAACCATGCAGTGTAGTAGCTCCCGATGGTTACATGTCACTATCCCTCATTAAAAAACCCCATCAAACTACAGATTTATCGAGGATTCCTGGCCATTCCACCAGACTACATTGTATATTCTTCTACATTTTTCTATATTTGGCCAACATGCAATTTGCAATAACGATTTCAGTTAAGCAAGGAATTTCATACCACACACTATTTCTGTTTGAGAGCAGAACACATAAGAACACAATAGATTTTCAAGTAGAAAGTTCCAAAGTTAACAGTTTTATACATTGTATGTTTGTAGAAAGCCATGTTTGACTCATGTTTGAAACCTGTTGTTATTCAAAGCTTGGTCTGACAGTTATATTGCTTTTAAGCTGGGACTGAGAAGGTGTTTTTCATTTTAACCACTTTCTGATGGGTTACATTTCAAATACTTACATATCATAAGTAATACTTAAAGTAATAACTGATCATTTGTTTACATCAGTTATGAAATATTACCTATATTTTTTCCACGTACTGTCATTAAAAATCAAGTTGTGCATTAAGCCAATAAATCTACAGTAGTAAACAAAAACTGGTTGACACCAGCTCTTTACAGATAGCAGAAGACAAATATAAAGTGTTATGTAGAAGAGATGTTTCAAACCTGGGCAAGCTAAATTATAGGAATTAAAATGAGTTATTATACAACTATACACTAAGTAAAAAAAAAAGAAAAAAGAAAAAATAAACAAAAAAAGTGACATTGATTTCTTTTCCCCCTTCAACAAGTGAATGTATACCAACTCTAACAATTCCATGTTTCTGTAGGTCATTGCCTTATCTCACTCTTATTCAGCAATGGGAAATTAAGTCACTGCCCCTGTTTTGATGTTGTTCCCCTGTTCTGTCCTTATGGAACCATTTTTTCACTAAATAGAAAATGCAGTTTAATTGCCTATCTTCCCAAATGTTTTCTTCTGGTGACAAATTAAATACTTTTATATGGAAAATAACAAGTGCAGGGAACAAATCCACAACTATCTTAATATTCACTCATTTTAGGGTCTTGACATGAGGTGGGAATAATGTTAGTTTCAGGTTTATAATTTTAAACTTTAATTGCAGATGCAAGAACAAGGGAATTCTGTCTTCGCCTTTCAGTGTTATCAAAATTTACATGGTAATAGGGATAATTGTCACGGGCTGCGGCTCCAGACCTTGTATTTGCAGAGAGGATCCAAAAGCAGACACTCAAGGCAGGGCAGAGCTTAACTAAAGGCAAGCAGTTTATTAAAGACAGGACAAAAAACACACACACACAGGGGCAAAAGGAGGTTAAGACACTAAACTGAACAGAAAGCTAAACACTAAGAACGTGGCACATAAGGCATAAAACACCAAACAAGAGGCATGGAAAACCTGAAAGATGGTAGGAAGATGGACAGACAATCCAACAAGGTAAAAAAGATACATGGCACAATATATACACACACAAGGGTGAATAGGGAAAGGCTGTTCATCTCAGCATGGGAACATAGCTGAGGTGAACGAACATAATGAGACGAGGTAAGCAAAACTGAACACATTGAACACAGGACAGGAGACTGTCAAAATAAAACAGGAAACACACTCAGACTGAGACAGACAGGCTTGACACTGGGGTCAGGGAAGAAACAGACATGGGAACAAGGCATGCACAATTGACGAAACACAGCAACACGACTAACACGCACAGAGGGCGAATACTCAGCAAAAGAATCATGATTTCAAAATAAACAAAAATGCTGGGTCAGTGACCCAGCACCCTGACGATAATACCTCTGTGGGACAACAAACCAGCGTACAAACATGAATGTGGGAAACTTATGACTATCCTCTGTTTTCTTTGGGTCAAAATAAAATAAAAATGTGTTTTTCTTTTCAGAGATGAGCTTCTGTTTTTCAGTATATACTGTCCAACTCATTTCTCCAAAGAGTTAGAAAAAAAAGGAAACTCCTGGCTGAAATAGAATTTATCCTTTAACAGAGTTTACTTGAATTCTCAGGATGATGGTATTGTTTCTAATTGTTTCCAGCATAAGCTCTTGCATTTTTATCTATGTATGTAAGTATTTATTTATTTAATATACAGAATAACAACAACCAATAAGTTTGCTATTATGTTATTACTGTTTCCATTTTCAAACATATAAAACAGCTGATAAACATCCACTTATGTCCATTAATTAAGGCTTGTTAAATGATTGTATGTATATGAATGAGGTCAGCTGTTATTCAGTTCTCTGGTTTGTGTTATTTTCTCTTCATGCTAGAAGTGGGATATAATCTCTCATGTGTCTCTCTGTCTCCCTCCTCTCTCCTTCTGTATGAAGAGCTGCACATTACGAGCACTAATGTTCACAATTAGCAACTAGAATTGTAGTGGGTGTATAATGCTGCATGAATCAAATGCAATACTAAATCTGATATTCAAATCAAATTTCTACTGGGATTTACCAGGTGCTTGGAGGTGAGACAGGAGCTTCTTTCCAGGTCTTTTTATTCATTCGTTTGAATGTTACATGTTGTTACACTATCACAATATTTCCACGAGTGTCTGTCTGAAAATGGGAGTCATTATCGCCATTTTAAACCTATAATTGCAACTGGCCTTCTACTTTGCATTCAAACATACTGTCTTTAGATGTGAAAATTACTTCTGAGAAAAATGAGATCCACATATAAGGGACATTCATTTTAAATTTTGATAGAACACTGACAGTATAATGTCCTCGTAAGTGGATATCAGGCCCTTGAAGAGCAAAATGTAGTATTTTAGAAAAGAAAGAAAGAAAGTGTACTTTATTGATCCCAGTGGGGAAATTCCTCTCTGCATCAGTGAAGCAGTGGGCAGCCATTGGGCGCCCGGGGAGCAGTGTGTAGGGACAGTACCTTGCTCAGGGGTACCTCAGGGTAGCTGTTCAGGGGAATCGAACCCCCGACATTCCGATCATGGGGCCACCACTCTACCTGTGATGTCCACATATGTGGACTCCAATTACATCAATTACAACAATTACATCGGTTACTGTAGAAATAGTAGAGGTGGAAGAAACAATCTGAACTTTGCTGCAGAGTGAAGCTGAAGGGAATATATCTCGGAGTTGAGAAGAGGAAAATGGATCGATGGAAGTAAGTTTTTCTCTCCAGATATTGTTCTACTGCATTTTCAGTGTGTTTGGGTCCGTGTCATGCTGAAAAATGAAGCGGTTCTCAAACAGGTGTTTTCCAGATTGGTTAAAAATCCAACAGTACTTGTCTGTACCAAACTACTTCCGTTATGACATGATCCCCAACACCACTCGGTTAAATGCAGCACAAAACCATATGAGAGTGTGCACTCTATAAGACCTGTTGTCACTGTTTCTTAGTCCAGTTCTTGTGTAATTTGGCATACATCAGCCTTTTCTCTTTGTTTCCCTTGTTTAAGAATATCTTCTTGACAGCCACCTATCTGTCAATAGCCACGATATAAGGGCTACATTTGTCTCTAAGGATTTTTCTCAAGGACATGATTTTGCCTGCCACTTCTGACTTCTAGTTTCCTCATTTTCAAGGAAACACTGTACACAAGTTTTCAGCTGAAAGGTTTTTGGGTTGTTGTTTTTTTTTTTTATTCCTATTAAAATCATCAGGTACAAGGGCTAAAAATGAGTGTAAAAGCCACCAATATTCAAAGAAAAACCTTGAAATACCTTCACAAAGCCAGTAACGTATTAGTTTGTATACAGGTGATTTGTATCCACAGATCCCTCCTTCGTCCCTCAGACTGACAGGTATTACAAGCTTAGCTGTGTTTCTGTCAAAAATAAGCCTTACTGCTGAATACATGGAGTGAATGCAACTTTCAGAGTTCAGATGAACTAAAAATACTGAGCAGAATGTAGGGTGAGCTCTCCGAGGCCTCACTGCTCTTAGATTATCCTTTATTTATTAACTCTATATTCTGCCCTACTTCAACTCCTCAGCAGTATTAACCCACTTTTATACACAGAACAGAAAATAATCAGAAAGATGATTCTCTTTATTAACTGTTTGGTGAAATAAGGTAAAGGGATTGCTGGTGGGAAGTTATCACTGGATGGTATTTATGTGGAGCAGCAGCTGGAGAAAACTGTAAACATTAAACTAGTAAATCTTGGGCTTTATACAAGAGCTGAATACCGCTGTCTAGACTTTGCTGTCCTTGCAGACTTGTGACCTTCACAGGCACATTTCTAGCAAGTCTGAGTCTGCAAACAACTTCAAGTTATTTTCTGAGGACTTTCGCAGGTGTGCAGACTTCAGAACAATGTCAATAGTGAATGCTTATTGCAAGTTTTCTTATAATAATCAGTCAACAAAAAATGAGCGAGAAAAATATTTTGCCATTTGTTATTAATTGAATTATATGTCATTTAATATTAACTTGTAATAGCTGGTAATAGATTTCCATCCCAGTGTAACGCAAATTTGAAAAGCAAAAAAGCAAAGGAAAATATAATTGGTATTAAGGTGCACTGCTTAAATTTTTTTATATGTATTATATATACACACACACACACACATACGTATAAAAGACAGATGTCCATAGAAGCAATCGGTCCATCCAGATTCCTAACTCTGCACCATGGCCAAGACCAAAGAGCTTTCTGAGGATGTCAGGGACAAGACTGTGGGCCTACACAAGGCTGAAATGAGCTACAAGAGCATCGCCAAGCAGCTGGGTGAGAAGGTGACAACAGTTGGTGCAGTTATTCGCAAATGGAAGAACCATAAAATAAGTGCCAGTCTCCTTCGGTCTGGTGTTCCATGCAAGATCTCACCTCGTGGAGTTTTAATGATAATGAGACCAATGTTTGTAGAACCAGCCCAAAACTACTCCGGAGGAACTTGTCAATAATCCCAAAGCAGCTGGAAATATAGTCACCGAGAAAACAGTTGGTAACACACTACGCTGTGAAGGACCGAAGGTCATACACTCAAGAAAGCACATGTACAGGCCCGTTTGAAGTTTGCCACTGAACATTGCAACGATTCAGAGGAGGACTGAATGAAAATGTTGTGGTGAGGTGAGACCAAAATCGAGCTATCTGACATTAACTCAACTTGCCGTGCTTGGAGGAGGAGGAATGTGAACTATGGCTCCAAGAACACCGTCCCCACCGTCAAACATGGAGGTGGAGGCATTTTTCTTTGGGGGGGTTTTTTCTGCCAAGGGGACAGGACAGCTGTACTGCATCAAAGGGAAGATGGGAAAATCTTGGCTGAGAACCTTCTTTCTTCCACAGGCCATTGAAATGAGTTGCGGGTATTCCAGCATGACAATGATCCAAAAAACACAGCCAAGGCAACAAAGGATTTGCTCAAGAAGAAGCATATTAAGGTCTTGGAGCGGCCTAGTCAGTCTTCAGACCTTAATCCCATAGAAAATCTATGGAGGGAGCTGAAGGTTTCAGTTGCCAAATATCAGCGATGGAACATTAATGACTTGGAGAGGCTCTGCAAAGAGGAGTGGGACAAAATCCCCCATTGTGACCAACTACAAGACACACCTGACCTCTGTGATTGCCAACAAGGTTTTTCCACCAAGTACTAAAGCACATTTTGCAAAGGGATCAAATACTTATTTCCTTCATGAAAATGAAAATTAATTTATAACTTTTTTGAAATGCATTTTTCTGGATTTTTTTGTTATTGTTCTGTCTCTCACTGTTCAAATAAACCCACCACTGAAATTATATGAAATTATAGACTGATCATTTCTTTGTTAGTGTGCAAATTTACAAAATCAGCTGGGGTTCAAATATTTTTTTCCCCTTACTCTGTGTATGGCAGTGTAAATATATTTCACATTTGTGGGACACACCTTCCAAAAAGTTAAACTTTTGTCTCATCAGTCCACAGAGTATTTTCCCAAAAGTCTTGAGGCTCATCAAGATGTTTAATGGTCTCTTTCTTATGGTGGAGTCGTGAACACTGACCTTAACTGAGCGACTAAGGCCTGCAGTTCTTCTGATCTTCTTCTGGGGCCTTTTGTGACCTCATCACTGCACTCTTGGTTTGCTGGAGTCCCAGAGCTTTAGAAATATCTTTATAGTCTTTTCCAGACTGAGAGATCTCAATTAGTTTATGTGTTTCCATCTTGCTTCTTTTTGTCACCGTTTTGCGAGCAATAAAGCTGTGATTTTAAATTATACATCTGTCAGCTGCATTTTGGGTCCACTCCCTGCCTCCCACATGCTCTGTTTCACATGACATATCCTTTTAATGACCAATGTCTTCATTTAACTCCCTTTCTCTATAAATGAGTCTGAATGTTTAATCTGGCAAGTTCAAAAGAGCTCTATTAAACTCAGGCAGCCTCACTGCCATGATGAAATTAAAATGTGACCTGTGTTGTGAGAGGCTTTATTTGTGTCACGGTTATCTTTTCCAGATCTTTGCTTTTCATATTCTCATCACAGTTTCTTAGAAACATAGCCTTACACAGACATTTTGGGGAAAAGATAATTAAGCCAGGAGGTATTAGTATTTATAACAGATAAATAAATTGCACACACTATCACACCTTTTGCTTGCCTACATACTTACTTTGCTTATTTGTTTCCACACCTATACACTTCAGAATCAGATCCAAAATCATTAGATTAATAATCTACATATTTCTACAAACTGATCAGCTCACACATAGACAATGGACTTTTCATTCACTGGTTCTATATGGGTTGTTTATCATATCATAATACATCTTCATCATACTACTTCCTGCTAGATGATCTGATCTAGGACAGAAGACAGCTGCTACAGTACCCCTTGTGTTTTCTTAATCTGACCTTTCATTGTATTGTACCACAACTGGGGAATGTAAAATCAATATTACATGATTTATGATGAATTATAATAATTAAGGGTTAAGTGTGTTTAA